AAAGAAAGAAAGAAAGAAAGAAAGAAAGAAAGAAAGAAAGAAAGAAAAGATCCAAGGTTCCTCTGTTGTGAAGACAAGGCCAAAACGCCTTGCCACAATTTACATATGATACAGAAGCAGCAAGGGAAAAATACAAGAATAACAAACTGATAGGAGCCTAAACTCTAAAAACCAGGGAGAAAAAAAAAATCAGAAATAAGGAATAGTGTTTTTTCCTCACTTAGCAAAATATACAGTTTGTATTTGTTCCACAGCAACGCCCCGAGTGTTTATATCCTGTTAATTCTGTATGTCTCAAAAGCCTCACATTGATGGAAAAAAAACATTCCTTGTTTTTAAAAAGAGAGACAGATTAAAAACTATTTAAATGCATCAGCCTCTCCGTTCTGTCTCTCTCTCTCTCTCTCTCTCTCTCTCTCTCTTTCCCCCCTTCGGAAATTGCTTTAGTTGTACATCAACTGGTCCTTTAAAAAGACTTTTGTTCTTTTGTGACCGAGTCCATACTTTTCCCCATTTCAATATATATATATATACATATATATTTATATATATATATCTAAAACAAACAAACAAACAAAAGATTTCAAAGCCAAATAAAAATATTCCTGGATAAAAACTACCTACGCACAGTCACCAAAATAAAAATAGAAATAAAATAAAACGGCTCTTCAGTGGCTCCGAAAAAGAGCGAAAAGAACCACCGTGAAAATGAGAGTGCTGATCTCGGCCCCCCCCCCCCCCCCCCCCCCCCCAAAAAAAAAACAAAAAACAAAAAAACAAGAACTAACAGGCTAAGAAAATAAATACAAGTAGAAGCAGTGGGTCAGAGGCTTGGGAGAAGTGTAAACGGTCTGTGGTTAGTAGCAGAGGAGGCGTTGGAGGGTTCTCCTCCTGCCCTCCCAATCCAGTGCTTTCTGGCCAGCGGGAGGGGGGGCCGGCCGGAGCCCAGCTAACAGCCACAAGTGTGCAGTTTTTGAACGAAAATGAAATCTTGGCTCATCCCTCCGGGTCTGCGGAGTCCTCCAGCTTGCTCTCCTGGGGTTGCTCACTGGGGGATCTGCAGGGAAATCACAGCCAACGTGAACCGTCGTCCCAGTTGCCATTCTCCCAGTCTGCAGCCCGAGGGGCGCATGGCACACGCCTGTCTATCCCATTGATACGCTGTCCATCTAAGGCAGCCCCCCCCCCCAACTTGGCAACTTTTAAGACTTGTGGACTTCAACTCCCAGAACTCCCCACCTACCAGGGTTAATAATACACCAACTGGGATGGGCCAAATTCCCCATCAAATGTGCAAGGTGGACCGGTTAGGTCAAGAATCTCCAAACTTGGCAACTTTTAAGACTTGTGGACTTCAACTCCCAGAATCCTCCAGGCAGCCTAAGTCCGCAAGTCTTAGTTGCCAAGTTTGGAGACTTCTGATTTAAGGCTTGGCACCCCCACTTGTAAGGACTTCTCCAGTCTGGTGGCCCTGGGGGAAGCAGACTATCCTAGAACCCGCTGCCAGCCCTGACTTGACAGGTTCGGAGGCCCCATCCAAACTACTGATGTGCTGTGGCCCTGAACGGCCTCCCCCAACAATAGCAATCGCACTTAAATTTATATCCTGCTTTACTGCCCCCTCTAAGCGCTTTTCAGAGTCAGCTTCTTGCCCTCAACAATCTGGGTCCTCGTTTTACGGACCTTGGAAGGACAGAAGGCTGAGTCAACCTTGAGCCTGGTGGGATTCGAACTGCTAAATTGCAGGCAGCTGGCAGTCAGCAGAAGGAGCCTGCAGTACTGAACTCTAACCACTGTGCCACTGCGGCTCAAGTACATGGGGGCTCTTTGCCAGCGTGCAAATAAGACCAGAGTTCCCCAAACTTCCTGGCTTTGCGGACTGGCGTGGAGGGGGAGAAGAGAAGGGACGGATCCTGGTGGGCCAGCAACCACACGCTGGCCTGCTACTCCCACGGCCCGGTTCCGAACAGCTCAGAGGCTCGGTACTTGGCCATGTCTCAGACCCCCGAATTAGACGACAGGAAGTCCTCACTTAACGGTGAGCGGTGTGGTGGCCTAGAGGGGGAACTTTCGCGCCACCATCAGGAGGCTGTGAGTTTGATCCTGAGGTAGATATTTGTCTCTCTGGGCACCCTGAGAATATACAGTATCTGCTGCATCCGGCCAGTAAACCCTCCGCTCCATTCGGAGGCCCAGAGTCCACCCCAAAGCATTGCAAGTCTACTCACTCAGCTCTATTGCAAGTTTTAATAGTCACGGAGCGGCTAAAGGAAGACGGCCATGTAAATGGTCCAAGAGACGGTGCCCTGGAGGGCTTCCTTCTGTGTGAAACGGCCACCCTCCTCACACCATCCGGGGGCGGCAGCAGATGAAACCTCCCAATGGAGAGACCAGGTGTTCCAGGACAGGCCCAGGAGTTTTTCCCCCAGCCGAAGTCAAACGGAGGTTTTCCTCCTCCTCCTCCTGCCCTCTCTTAGAGCCCACTTACCCTCTGTTTTCTTGGTCCTCAGCTTCAATGATAACCGTTAGTAAATGCCGTTGCAATCAAAGGCCCCTGCAAAAGACGGCATGCTATTCAGCGGAACCCACAGTGATTCCCAAAGGACTTGCAGCATTCGGGAAAGTTAAGCTTCAGCCGTCAGAATTTTGTGAGGGGAGAAAAGACGCTCGTATTAGCCCACCTGTCCTGACCCAGCTCCCCAAACAGGACAAACCGTCTGAAGTTAACTCAAAGATTCTGGCAAAAAGTTTCTCTCTCACCGCAGGCTAACGAGTCCGTTTGGCCAGAAGAGGAATAGTTGTCTGCCCCCCCTATTCATCTCCGCCCCCTGCCTTTTATCCCCAGAGCTAGGGCGGGGCTTCACTAGCAGCGGTGGCTCTTCTATCCCAAGGACCGGCCTATAGATTTCCACTGCTCTCCTCTCCTCTGCCTTCTGCGCATCCACGCTTCAGGCACTGGACCCGGCTGTTCCTCCTCTTCTTCAGCCACCTCCAGACCTGAGGGCTGTTGACTCTCCATCTGGGGGCTGGCGGATGGTAGAGGCTCCCACTCTGTTTCTCTCTCTCTCTCTCTCTGCCAGTTCCTCCTCCCTCTTCCTCCTCAGAGCTCTCAGGTTGCCTTGATGGTGACCCTGACTCCCACCCCTCCTCCTCCTCCTCCTCTGATCTGGCTGGTGCAGGGACCAGCAGCCGACAGGCCACCACACCCCTCTCTGGCTGGTTTGGTTCCCCCTCTGAGAGTCTCTTCTGTGGACACTTGGCTTGGGCCACGCAGGGATGGCCAGGTGAGGCTCAGTGGCACCTTACAACTGAAGCCAGGAGACTCCTATGAGAAGGACTCCTTGTGCACGGAAGAGCTGGCGTTGCGACTCAACCAACGCCACTTTAATGGCTCAGAGGAAACCCGGCCTCCTTCGGCTCACGAGAATTGAGCGGGTCTCCATAAGCCCCCAGCCCAGGAATCTTTGCTTGTCATCCACAGCCCCTGCCCTGACCCAAGAAAACACCTCTCTCCCAAGACCAGGAGCTGGCCAGGACCCCCTCCCCACCAGCCCCTTTCCCTGCACCCTGCCCATGGACGCCCCCCCAGAGCACTCACCCCTAGGCTGTGGCCAAAGCCGGTGCTGGGGGCAGGACTTGCCGCACTGATGTAACTGCTGACTCCTGAATCCTGATTGGCTGCTCCATAAAGCTCAGCCATGGGCCCAGGGCTGGTGGTGCCCAGGAAGCCGCCAGTGCGGCTGGGGGTGGAACCTACCGGAGGAAGCAACACTAGCCAGTCGAGATGCTACAATGGCGCCCTGGCCCCCACCCCACCCCACCTCCCAGCCCTTCAGAAAAGGTCCCTGGAGACCTCTGGGAAGAGATGTGGCAGTTACCTGTCCCTCGCACCACAGCTGCCGCCGCCGCCGCCGCCGCCATTGGTCCATAAGCAGTGAGGGGTATGGCTGCGGGAGAAAGAGGCAGGGTCAGGGATCGGCCGGGCAGGGAAATCCAGCAATGCCCAGCCAGTGCCCACTACAGGTAGCACATCTGCACGGGGCAGTTATGGCATGCCATTGAGTTTGTGGGTGGCCACCAGGCCCAGGATGTCCTGCAAAACCAGCTGACCAGCACGAGGAATAGCATTAGCCTTTAGACTTATATACCGCTTCTCAGTGCTTTTACCACCCTCTCTAAGCGGTTTACAGAGTCCGCCTCTTGCCTCCCAACAGTCTGGGTCCTCATTTTACCAACTTCAGAAGGATGGAAGGTTGGGTCAACCTTGAGCCTGCAGGCAGCCAGCAGTCAGCAGTCCTGCACCCCAACCACTGCGTTACCAAGGCTCATTCAGTCAAACTACAATCCATCTAATTAATTAAGGTTTCCCCCAATATAAAACCAGCCTAAAAATGACAATGTCTGTGAGCTCAGCAGGACATCATCTGGATTACTTTCCAGAAACTAAACCATGGGACACACAGGCCACCTCGAGCTCTCTTTTGGGCGCTCTACTTGGGAGAGATGGTCCTGCGTGATCCAGAGGGCTGCCCCCCCAAATGATACTGTTCTCCCAGGCCTCAGGGTAGGGGGACAGCAATAGTGCTGAGTCCTCATTTTACCCCCTTCGGAAGGAGGGAAGGCTGAGTCAACCTGGAGCCTGGTGAGATCTGAGCTGCCAAATTGTTGGCAGCCGGCAGTCAGCAGAAGGAGCCTGCAGTCCTGCACTCTGACCACTGCGCCACCGTGGCTCTTTGACCCCCCCAACCCCCCCCTGCCCATTTCCCAAGGCCCAAGGCAGCCCCCCCCCCCGCCTGGTGTTCCATGAAGCCATCGCTTGGAAGCACACGCGTGTGAGAGGAGGAGAGGATCATGACGGGACAAAGGAGGAAGGAGACATGCACGTCCCAGGGCCCAGCCAGCCGTTCTGGGGCCTTCTGGGTAAATTCTGAAAGCCTGCATTAATTAATAGGATGCTCTGCTAATGGCGGCTAAGATGATTTACTTGCCATTCTTGGACCTCCGGCACCGGCCCTAAAATCAGCTCTAGCAGAACCTCGGGCCCCAGACAATCCACAGAGTTCCTGCCCTCTCCACACCCCTGTCTTAACAAAGCTGGGCATGTTTCCCCTTTTCTTTCCCCCTTTTTGCCTTTCCTTCTTGAAGTGGAAATCAGAGCAAGATGCCGGGTGTGTGTGTAGATGTTCACATTCATCCTGTCAAGTTGGCGCACACACGTTGTGGCTAAATCCTGGCTCACCTGAAGCACCCAACTCTCTTTGACAACAGAATATATATCACGCGTGCAAAGAACGGAAGGAGATCTTTGGCCCCCCTGAAACCAGGAGCGGCTCAGCGCTTCCGGCTTCACGAGGGGTTGCAAAGCCTCGGCGAATCTCTGAAACAAATGTTAGCATTTTCCCGAAGGAATTCCCAACCAGCCAAGAGGCTCCGCTGAGCTTCTCCTGCCCAGCCCCTCCTGGCTTGCAGCATTCACACGAACAGTCTGTGAAGCGAATGGAGACGGGAGCCACAATCTGATACGGGTTTTTGAGATGGGTGTCTGGAGGACCAATTCAGCCCCAACCAGGGGTGGGATGCACATTTTTTAATAACTGGTTCTGCAGGCGTGGCTAGGTGGACACGGCCATGCGACTGGGTGGGCATGGCCCCTTCCTCTTTTTTTGGCAGCACCCCCCCCCCGGTCTCCCTCCTTTTGGGCCTCCTGGGCCTTGGGGAAGCCTCCTGGGTGAAGCAGTAAGACAGCAAGCGGGATCCCGGCACAGCTGATCGTAAGAACAGCTGATCGTCAGGGGAAAAATGCCGTTAAGGAGTGACTGGGTGGGGGAGAATGCAGTCAGCAATGTCAGGCATGCGTGCAATATTGTGCATGGGTGATAAGGACTGACTGGGTGGGGAGGGGAGGGTGGGGAGGGGAGGGGCCAGCCAGGGCCCTGATTTGCCAGTTATCCGAACTGCGCAGAATCGTAACAACTAGTTCTATAGAACCGGGAGAATCCCACCCCTGTCCCCATCCTGCTCTGAAGTATGCCACCATCTTCTGAGAAAGATGGGGGTGCGAGAGGAGCCAGGGAACCAGGTTTGAGCCCCTCTCTCTGGGAGGAGCCGCGAAAGGCACCCACAGACTTATACCAGAGCATGAATTTAGGACGGTTGAAGAAAGGGAGTCCTCGTCCCCCACCCCACTTCCTTGCAGCCCAAAGCTCAGAGGACCACAAAGGAGGCCTCAAGGGTGAGGAGAAGCTCAGCCAGTGAGACGGCTTAGGAACAGAAGCACAGGGCAAAATCGCCTTCAGGAAGCCTTGAAGGGATGGCCACAGCAAGAAGGAACTCCGAAAGGGGAAGGAAGGAAGGAAGGAGAGAGAGAGAGGAAAAGTGGAATGAAAGAAGGAAAGAGAAAAGAGAGAAGAAGGAAAGAAGGAAGGAGAGAGGAAAAGTACAATGAAAGAAGGAAAGAGAAAAGAGAGAAGAAGGAAAGAAGGAAGGAGAGAGGAAAAGTACAATGAAAAAAGGAAAGAGAAAAGGAAGAAGGGAGGAAGGAGAGACAGTGGAAAAGTGAAAGGAAAGACAGAGGAAAGGGGGAAGGAAAGGATGACGGACAGTGGAAAAGTGGCATGAAAGAAGGAAAGAAAAAGAAAGGGAGGGAGGACAGACAGAGGAAAGGGGGAAGGAAGGAAGGAAGGAAGGAAGGAATTTAAGCTCTAAGTGGTCCTGAATCTCAGTGACTGGGCTCGGCTCCTTGTTGGCCTGTACTAGTTTGTTCATTGATTAGTCACGTGACCTTATCAAACAATGCCGGCTTCCACAGGAAGCAGTAAAGTTCTTTCACGCTGACTTCAAGAAAACCGGAGAGCGCCATATTCCTCCTGCCCTCCTTTGATCCACTTTTTGCGGTTGCAGAGAAGACAAATCTACACAACAGCTGCACTCCGTCAGTGGGAGGATGGTCTCACTTATGGACCAGGTGGCCCATCTGCCAATCTCCCAAAACTATTTTGATAACAATTCTTGTGCATAACCAGAGCTTGGAGCTTGGAGCAGCTGGTGACAGGCATCCACGTTTCAGCCCAATCTATTTCACCTGTGGGTCCTAGCTGGCAAATCAGGAGGGAGAAGGGTTGTTTTTTGTAAACCAGCCTGGTGAAATGTGTTAGCAAGGATCTAATGTTGACCAGACAACTTTGAGGCTCAAAAAGGGGAAAGGATAGAATAGACTAGAATATAGAGTAACAGAGTTGGAAGGGACCCTGGAGATCTTCTAGTCCAACCCCCTGCTTAGGTTGGACAAGTGGCGTTTCAGACAAGTGGTTGTCCAATCTTTTCTTAAAAACTTCCAGTGTTGGAGCATTCACAACTCCTGGAGGAAAGTTATGAGAAGGGGTGGTCTCCAGCCCAGACTTCTGCTTCACTCAGAAATTGGTGGGCAGCCAGTTCTTGGTTCTTATTTAACAACAACAACACCACCTCCAGCCACCTGAGCATAGCCCCGGATTCTGAAATCTGGCCTCTGTGAACAGTTTTCAAAACCCCTGATTTTCCTCACAGAAGTAAGGTGTGTGCCTCATGTTCCTGCTCTAAACCCAGCGTGTATTTATGTTCTGTTCTAACGTGCAATGCTTCTTTTAAATAATATGTTTGCCACCTCAGGGTGCAAGAGAGCCCTAGAATATTAGGGCAGGAAGGGACCATGGTGGTCTTTTAGTCCAACCTCCTGCCCATGGCAGGAGACCCTATACCAGGGGTCCCAAACTTGGCCATTTTAAGACTTGTGGACTTCAACTCCCAGAATTCTCCAGCCAGCTATGTTGAAGTCCACAAGTCTTAGAGTTGCCAAGTTTGGAGACCTCTGCCCTAGCCCATTCCAGGCAAATGGCTATCCAGTCTCTTCTTGAAAACTTCAGGTGATGAACCACTCGTGAAACGAATGTTAGCACTCGTAACTTCTGAAGGCAAGCGGTTCCATTGATTAATTGTTCACACCATCAGGTTGGTTCTCTTTTTAGCAAGCTTTCACCCATTGCTTCTTGCCTGGCCTTCGGGTGTTTTGCAAAATAGGCCGACCCCCTCTGCTCTGTGACAGCCTCTCAAGTACCGGAAGACAGTATCGTGTCAGCCCTAATCTTTCCCTCCATCAGTCGTGAGCTTAGATGACTCAGAAAGGCAATGTTTTCCTTTCGAGTCCAGTTGCTAAGAAGTGACAAAGAAAAGGTCACCACTACATCTTGGCTTCTCTCTTCCAGATGTTTGGGGTGGATCTCACACAGGCAGTTTAGAAAATAACCAACTCCTCCAAAGGAGCATTTGAGAGGCAGCCTGTGCAACCACTGCGAGTGGGGAGCTTTGCGTAACCTCCAAAATATTGTCTGAGTACAAAAGGGAACATGAGCATGCTGGAAAATGTTTGGGGTTCAGAAAACGGGGGAGGGGGCTATTCCAATATTCAAAGCAGACTGTTTTGCATCCAACTTTGGGAAGTTTCATATTCAGAACCGTTTGGAAAAAAATGTTTTGCACAATCCTCTGAAGGAGAAGTTGACCTTCCAGGTATTTTGAAGCTGTAATTCCCAGAATTGATTACAGTGGTGGGACTCATCTCTGGGGGGAGGTTTGAGTCTGCCTACTGAGATGAGGTGGACCAATGGTTGATTTCTTGGTGCGGAGACAATAACTTGGTCCTCAACACCAATAAGACCAAGAAGCTGACAGTGGACTATATAGAAGGAACAGATCAGACCTTGAGCCCTTGCTTATCAATGGAGACCGAGTGGACCAAGTGGCTAGTTTTAAGTTTCTGGGTGTTACCCTAAAAGAGGACCTGACCTGGGGTGCTCACATTGCAGCCCTGGTCAAAAGGGCCCAGCAGAGATTATGCTACCCAAGGCTTCTCAGGAAACAACAACTGAATGAGAAACTGCTGCTGACCTTCTACCGCTGCACCGTAGAGAGTATCTTAACTGACTGCACTTGTGTATGGTTTACCAATTGCACAGGGGCAGATAGAACAGCAGTCCAGAGGGTGAACTTCATTGCCCAGAGGATCATGGGTTGCACTCTCCCCTCTTTGAAAGAGCTTTAGAGCTCCCACTGCCTTAAGAAAGTTCAAAACATTCTCAAAGATCCATCTCATCCTGGACTCCCTTTTTTTGAACTATTACCATCTGGCAGACGGTACAGGATCACAAAAACAAGGACAAATAGGCTGAAAAACAGCTTCTGTCCCAGGGCAGTAACTCTTTTGACTTCTACTGTATAGTGCAGTGTTGATGCGGTATTGCGGGTTTTCAGTTCAATGTGCAGAGTGTGAAGGATGTGTGTTTGTGTTTATTTTCATGGTCATGATGTGCACTGAAGATGGTGTTTGATTTCGTTGTACAAGGTGCAATTGGCAATAAAGTAAACTTAAAAAACTAAACTAAACTAAAATTCCTAATCACATCTGACTAACAACCTTTTGAGTTATGCCTTTTCATCAAAACGATGGAAAAGATGCTATCAGACTTTTTTTCCCCTCGAACACTAATCTGGCTCTCCTCTTACCACAGCCAATCTGGAGAGCCAACATCCTTTCCTGATCCCTTTGTCTGCCATGGCTTCCAGGATACGGCTCTCTTCAGTGGCTCCCTCCTGCAGAACCAGGTGCTCTGCCAAGGAAGGATGGCACAAAAGGCAACTCAGGGGTTACCCAATCGGTGGTTTCCACAGAAGGTAAAGAGCAGAAACAGTGAACGATTTAGAGATGGAGAATGCGGGTTCCTCCTCTTATCCAAGGGTGTGAGAATGCTCCAACTCCCCTCGGCAGGGAGCAGCTATCGAGAGGGGAACAAACGTCCCAGTGTGCGTCCGTTCCTCTCCATCCGCAGCTTCTTGGCTCCCCAGAACCCCATCCTGAGGCAAAAGCCAGAGAACCCAAACCAGCCCAGGCCTGCCTACCAGCAACTCCTGGCCTCCGAAGCCACGAGGCAAGGAAAGCACCAACCACCCTCCCCTTCCAGCGGTTGCAAGGAGAAAACTGGTGGGACTGACCTGTGAGCTCGGGGAGGACAGGGGCACTCGGGAGGGGAGTCCGCTCTACCCGGAACTCTAAAAAGGAAAAGCGAGACAACTTAGGATGCTCCTTCGGGGCCTTCAGCTCTGGGACAGAAGAGCTAGCCGAGGCAAGGGTGGAAGAGGAAGAGGAAGGAGCGCAAAAGGCAAGCACAGGAAATGGAAATCCTCAGAGAGGCTGCCCGAAAACAGCCAGAGGAGCAACGCCCACCAGCAGTTCCAAGGGGGCCTTGCTCAAAGTTATCAGGTGCAGCCAAATAGCCTTTGCCCCACCTGTAGGAGAAGGCACACCAGAAGACACACCTCACGGCTCTTTCTGACGGTCTGTGCAAGTGAAAACTGCTGGTCTACTAAGTATTTTTTTTTTATCAGGGCAACCTGGTCTATTCAAATATGAGATGAAGCATTCTGCTTCCGCTTTCACCTTTCAGCCCCCATGCAGGAGCCTTCGCAGCCATTATTTCTTTGCCGGTGAATATAAATTTAATACAAAAATATTGGTCTACTAAGGTGCTCATGCATCAGACTGAATTTTAAGGCTGGAGAGGGCAGGGTAGGGATGTCATTCAAAGAGAAAATAATACACAAGTCAGAACATTGTTCCCCTGTGGCTTTCACACTTCTCTTTGTTCAGAAGTGCACCCCAAAATGCAGACATTTAGAGACACTGATCTTTAAAAGCATGAATGCCAAAATGCACACTTTACAGAAAATTCTGGGCAGAAGGTTTGTACGTAAAGCGCTTCACAATCTGTGGTTTATTCAGATGGTTTGGGTCCTACCGGACTTTGCCTCACACCTCTGGCACATTAAGCTTTATAAAATGCTCCCATTTTTAAAAGGAAGTGACTCTGGGAAAAAGACACTTCTTGGCTGGGGGTGTAAACAGCCATAGAAGGAGAAACTCCAAAAGTGGGGAGTCTTTTGAAAGAGTCTGAAGGCATCAATTAAGTGAAGGAAAGCCACCATCCTGTTGCTTTAGTAAATCTTGCAGCAAGGTTGAGTTAGATCAGCGTTCTCAATCTCAGCTGCTACACGATGGGTGGACTTCAACTCCCAGAATTCTGGGAGTTGAAATCCACACGCCTTAAAAGTTTGTCAGCATGGCTGGCTGGGGAATTCTGGGAGTTGGAGTCTAGGAGTCTTAAAAGTGGCTGAAGGTTAAGAAACCCTGAACCGGAGGGCCTCCGAGAGCCACTGTACTTCTAGGACTCCTGAGAATTCAACCAGCACCTGAGAAAAGAAAAATATAATTCTTTTCCTATTTCATCTCAGCTTTGGGGGAGGCCTTTCGCATCACACACACACACACACACACACACACACACACACACACACCCTGGAAGAAGGACAATTTGCAAAGAACGTTTGCCAATGTGTTTGACCACGCCAAAGCAACACAACGTTAGAGGAAGAAGGACCTACCGGGAAACTGGTAGGTATAGCCAGGTGCAATGCTGGTGTAGCTCCGGCTTGTGTAGGTGGCTGCCTGGAAACCTGGGTACCCTATTCTCAAAGAGAGAAGAAGATCAGAAGGCCCCATTAAAAAACAAACATCCCCCTTCCCCCACTCTCCACCTACATCCAATTTTAACTCGGGGGCACAGAGGATGGGGTGTGGGGTCCTTTCTCGGCGACGTGCCTGCCGTTCTCTGGTTCTTCCAGAAGAGGGTGCTGCCGCTTTCCCATCCTTACCTAACATGCCGATGCCCAACATGAAGGCGTCCATCCCGTAAGGCATCACTCGGGAGCGTCCCCTCGCGGAGCCAGTGGGCGACATCACTTCCTTGGGCTGAGCCTTTTTACATTCCACCTGGCACCAGACACAACATTAAGACAACCCTATTAAAAAGGGGGGTGCACGTTTCATGGCTACTGCAGGGCACCCACCAGAACTTTGCTTCTGGACGACAGCTGTCGGCCCTTGCTATAAAACACGCACGATTCTCCCCTAATTGCACCGTGTTCTTCTATTAATCGTAATAATAATTTATTAAATTTAAGTGCCGCTTCACTCTCAGGGACTGGGCAGATTATGAGCGGTTAAGAATGTATCTTTTCTTTTATATATACGGAAAGCATTTGCACCAAGACAAATTCCTTGTGTGTCCAATCACACTTGGCCAATAAAAGAATTCTGTTCTATTTCTATTTCTATTCAGAATGCTTAAAATTAGGAACAATGCAAAACCACAAAAACAAGGCAGACTGAAAGGGCAGGTCATAAAATAGGACCTGACCTGGGTGCTCACATTGCAGCCCTGGTCAAAAGGGCCCAGCAGAGATTATACTACTTGAGGCTTCTCAGGAAACAACAACTGAATGGAAAATTGCTGGTGACCTTCTACGCTGCACCGTAGAGAGTAATTTAACTTACTGCACCTGTATATGGTTTGACAATTGCACAGGGGCAGATAGGACAGGGCTCCAGAAGGTTAAGGTCATTGCCTCTCAGAGGATCCTGGGTTGCCCTCTCCCCTCTTTGGAAGAGCTTTATAGCTCCCGCTGCCTTAAGAAAATTCAAAACATTCTCAAAGATCCATCTCATCCTGGGCTCCCTTTCTTTGAACTATTACCATCTGGCAGATGGTACAGGAGAATAAAAACAAGGAACAAAGAGGCTGAAAAACAGCTTCTATCCCAGGGCAATACTATAGTGCAACATTAATGCAATATCAGAGGTTTTCAATTCACTTGTACAGAATGCGAAGGATGTATGTTTGGGTTTCATTTTTATAGTTATAATAATGTATGCTGAAGATGGCATTTAATTTCGTTCTGCTAGGTGCAATGACAATAAAGTAAACTAAAAAACTAAAAGAGCAGAAATGGGCAAACCCAGATGGGCACAAGGAAAGGGGCATCAATCACCTGGCTTGGGTGAAGAGCCACATCTTCAGGGCTTCGAAAAACCAGAGGAGTTCAGGCAATCTGATTGTCAAAGGAAACCCTACTCCAGAAGGCAGGAGATGCTACAGAGAAAATTCACTTTGAGGGTGTGATAGGTGGCATTGCTTAATCCAAGCGTCCTCAAACTTGACAGCTTTAAGACTTGTGGATTTCAACTCCCAGAATTCCTCCTCAAGTCATGTTAGCTCAGGAATTCTGGGAGTCCACAAGTCTTAAACTTGCTAAGTTTGAAGACCTTTGGCTTAATCGATGGAGCCCAGAGCATGCCAACCCCAGCTGGGAACATACTGTGGAGACAGATATTTAGGAAGAAAGCACCTGAGCCTTGCCATCTCCCTCAGCCCTTTGCCTCAGAAATGCTGCACAGGGTTGAAAACAAATTAACTTTCAGCTTTGCACCTCCAGCTGTATAGACCAATTCCCATAGCTACAACTATTGCTAAGAATTCTAGATGTTGAATTCCACATGTTTGGAGAACACCTGACTGGACAAAGCTGATTTCAAGGAAGGCAGAAGAATCTCCTTGTAGGTGTGGTCACTTCGTGTCCCTCTGAGTGGGACCCCATTCTGTGAGGCTAAACCTGGCCAAACTCGCCAGTAAAACCACCATGGAGGGTCATGGGTCAAGTTGCAGAGGCCATAACAGCCTGACCCTCATGTCCAGTGGGAAGAAAGACGTAGCAGCAAGGGACACCATCCCATCAACGCAAACCCACTGACACCCGTCCAACTTTCTTTGTGCTAACCATTTTGTTGTTGATCTCATGAAAGTGGATCTCGCAGACTTTCTCCACGATATCTTCGCTTTCAAAGGTGACAAACCCAAACCCTGGAAGAGAAACAAAAACAAACCCATCTCAGTCAAGTCAAGAAGCCCCTAGGAAGCTCTCCAGGGCTCCAGCTCAAGCCTTCGGTCCCTTTGGCAATCTATCATCTTCTTTTAAGGACCTCATAATCCCTTGCAGGATGGAGTCTGGGCAACGGTATGGAGCTGAGTGTTTACTGGCCAGATGCCCTTCCTGTCGCCAATGCAGAGCTTTGTTCAGCAGATATATTCTCACTGTGCCCAGACACAGAAATATCTACCTGCTGTGGTTCGCTGGCAGCCTGTGCAGACGGCAGCGGAATCAGACAGTGGGGAAGAACAGGGACCAGTCCGGGAGTCTGGAGAGGACTCGGACGAGGGTCCTGCGTCCGATGCAGGGATGGGGCCAGGACCATCTGGGAGTGGGGTGCTGCCACTGGAGCCTCTGCAGTTTGACAGCAGCGAGGCAGAGGACCCAGGGGAGCCTGTTCCCAGTGCGCATGTGCGCAGAACTGCTAGAAGGCGAGAGCAGCTTAGACAAAAGGGGAGACTCGGGAGTAAGGCTGGGAGGTGATTGGCCCCACCCATAAGGCATAAAGGACAGGCAAAGGTAGAGAAAACTTTACAGGAAGCAAAGTCGTTCGCTCTGTTCGGATTAACCCTTGAAGCTCTGTGCGGACTTTGTACTTTGGTTGTTTTTTTATAATTCATTTGGCATTCTAGTTGTTGGCAGCAATCCAAAGGAAAGAAAGGTGGGTGCTTATCTCGAGGGACTGTTTGGGACTCATTACAAGCTGGGAATGAAAATAACTCCCAGCGTTGAAATAAAACAGGAATTGTTTTAGCTGAGCATGTGCTTAATTACGGTCTCGGGAAGCCTTGGTCAGAACACTACCTCTACCTGATAGATTGTCCTTTTCACGGTCTATCATGAGATTAAAACAGCCAACAGGCTGCTTCAAATCCAGAAAGGCAAAAGGAACATTATCCTTTTCATCCTCCATGTTGTTGACCTGGAAGGTAGGACTGGCCAGCAGAGGCGAATCCATTTTCTACAAGATGTAGACAAGCGGTGACTGGAGAAGCGCTGAGGAACGTGGGCATCAGCAGTCCCATCTCTCTCTCTCCTGCCTACTCGTCCGAGCTCTTCCTCCCCACCCCTATCATTCCAAAGGCTCCCCCCTGCAGAGGAGAGGCATCCGAGTTGGCACGCGGGAGGCATCACCCGCTCTCCGCCCTGCTGGGGCACAGCCACCTCCCCCACCAGCCAAGGCTTCCCTTCTGCAGCCTTTCTCTAGGCAAGACAGAGCAGGCCTGGTCAGCGTTTCACAGCAGGCCTCAGCTGCCCCCCACCCCCCACCCCCCCAGTTACTATGGCAAAGTTAAGTTGCTTTTTAAAATCCTGGCTGCAAATACCGGCACTGGCTCAGATTTCCTTAAGCCCTGGTGGATGGCAGCCAGGAAGCCAGGTACCAAAGAAAGGATGAGGGCCCAGGAAGGGAGAACAGAGCGCGGAAGAAGCCTGGAAAGTGGGCCAGGGGGTCCCCCCGCCCAGGGGGCATGTAATGGGGGAGACTGGGCAGTGGAAAGGGAGTGGGGGGATAGCAGAATCTGGCCTGCAATTGCCCTATTCCATTTACCTGTTTATTGGTGTGATTTATACAGTACACTACATCACGTAACAGTCAATGAGCGAGCAAGGGGCAGGCACAAAAGCTAAGAGAACATCTGCAGGCAGAAATGCTATAAAAAGAAAAGGCTGCATCTTTGCTTAGGGCAGCTAGATGTGGAAGCAGGGGGGGGCACAAGCGTGAGGAAAATTCAGCGGTGGCTTGGAGGAAGGCAGGTCTGCGGTATTTCAGACCCTCCAAACACCAGGAGGACCCAGAGGCATCGTCCATCCTGCCCACACAACTTAAAATTAGAGAAATGAGCAAGTGCCCAAGAGTTTAGCAGCGGAAGGAAGAGGCAGAAAAGGGAAGGAGGAGAGCCAAGAAGGGAGGCTGGCTGACAGCTGCTGTTGATCCCCCACTAAGAGCTGCTGACCGGTTGGGGCACTGCTTCTACTGGCCTGGTTGGGGCAGCTTCAGTGGACGTACAAGGAAGCAGCTGCCCAGAGTACCAGGTCACAGAGCAAACGAAGAAGGAGGGCTGGGAAAAATGCCGTGAGGGAAGTGTTGTTGTTGTTGTTGCTTGCTGTTGAAAGACGGTGGTGGACAGAGAGATCGGCTCCGGGGACCTGCAGGGAATGGGAGGGGTTTATTTTCCGGCCCCGAGACTGTAAGAAGCACACATGCTGCAAAGGGCCCACCTGGAAGGGGAGGGGAGGGGGGCAGAGGCAAACGTGACCTGAAGAATTCTTGGGCTGGACACAGGAAGCCCTTGTGGAAGCAAAATGGCACCCAGAAACAAGCCCATCGAGGAGAAGAAAGCCTATCCTCTGAGGCTGCAGAAGACTCCAAGGCCTGTCAAAGAGGATGTCTCTTGGACGAAGAATAGCTGACGTAAGATTTTGGCCTGAGCAAGCAGCCTCCAGAAGTTGTAGAAAAGTGCTAGAAAGAGTGCAGAGAAGAGCAACCAGGATGATTAGGGGACTGGAGGATAAAACATACAACAAACGGTTGCAGGAACTGGCCCTGGTTCGTCTAGGGAAGAGAAGGACCAGCGGAGACAGGAGAGCAGCCTTCCAATATTTGAGGGGCTGCCACTGAGAGGAGGAGGAAGGGGTCAAGCTGTTTTCCAAGGCACCTGGAGGCCAGACAAGGAATAATCATGGATGGAAATTGAACAAGGAGAGATTCAATCTGGAAATAAGGAGACGTTTTCTGACAGTGAGAACCCATGGAACAGCGTTTGCCTTCAGAAGCTGTGGAATTTCATCAATGGAGGTTTTCAAGAAGAGATTGGACTGCCATGGGGCAGGGTCTCCTGCTTGGGTGGGGGTTAAAAACTGTTTCAAAAAAGACTTTAGAGGAAGCCTCCCCCAAGCAACACTCAAGGGTGGAAGGCAAGGGCCAAACACAGAAACTTACTCGAAAGGATCGCATGAAAAAGAAGGAAGAACATTATGAGTGAGGGAAGTCCATAGAGGTGCAAGGAGCCAAAATGTCAGGATAGAACAGAGGTCTCCAAACTTGGCAACGTTAAGACTTACTCTGCTCTACTCTACTCTATTCTACTCTACTCTACTCTACTCTACTCCAAATCTCTTATCTTGGTAGATACTAAACAGCCCCAAGAGCCTTGAACTGGTTCAACCAACATGATTGACACAGGTAAGCCCAGCTGGAGGAATCCTGAAGGAATTAGCGGAGGAGATCGCGGGTCTACCCACTGCAATCTGCAAGAACTCCTGCAACCAGCAAAGCTCCGAAAGATGAGGAGAGCATGGCTGACCCTCCCTTCCAACTGGGGGAGGAGGGAGGAGGACTCAGGCAATTGTTAACCCATCAGCTTAAGGTTTGTCCTGGACAAGGGCCTCGAATGTATCTGTGAGTTCCTGCACAGCACGCACCAGTGATCAAGAGCCTGCGTGAGCGGAATAATAGCGTCTCTTTCTTGATAGGGTTACTAGCTTAATTGACTGCAGGGAATCCCATGGAAATAATGTACTTTGACCTCAGCAAATCATTCAACAAACCCACGGTGTCCTTGTGAGCGAAATGATAAAATACGAGCTAGGTGGTAGAGCTGCTAAAAGCACAGGTAGTCCGCAACTTACAACAGTTAGTTTCGTGACCACTGAAAGTTACAACAGCAAAGTTACAACATTGTTCATGCTTATGACCATTGCATCGTCATGTGATTTACATTCAGAGGCTTGGTAACTGGTTCACACTTATGACGGTTGCAGAGTCCCGGGGTCATGTGATCACTTCTTGCGAGCTTCTGACCAGCACAGTCAATGGGGAAGTTTCACTTAACAGCCAGGTTATGTCTCACTTAACCACACAAATTTTGGGCTCAACTGTGGTCGTAAGTCAACTACTTGTATTCATAACTGGATGAACCACACTCATAAATGTCTGCATATCATCCAGAAAAGAGCACCAGGTGGACAGCCACAGGGGAGATCTTGGCCCCTGTGCTCTTTGAAGTTTTTAGGAAAGGCCACAGCCGTTGCAGGTGACACAAGCTTTGTCTTAGAAGCAAAAGAGAAGGTCCAAAAGAGCTTAGAGGCTTGAAAGGTGGGTCAGAACTAAAAGAACGACATTCAACAGAAAGAAAGGCACACCTGGGCAGCTAAAATGTAAGCCACAAGGACAGGATGGCGAGCATTTGGCTTGGCAGTCGTGCCTGGGACAAAGGATCTGGGCATTCTCCTAATCCCAGGTTGACTAAAGTGACTCAGCAGTCGGATGCAGCTGCTGAAAGGGCAAATATGCTATCCTGAGCTGCACTGAACGAAGTAGAGAACCCAGATCCAGGGAAATAATGGCTCCCTCCATTCTGCCCCGATCAGACCAGTGTCTTGATTTGGTTCTGGGACCAAATAGGACTGTGACAAATTGGAGCAAAGGAGGAGGCCTGCCAAGATGGCGGAGGAAACCAAGTCCTCTGAGGAACCGTTAAAAGCATCTGGGTGTGAATAGTCTGCAAAAAAAGGCAGTGCAATTTTAACTATCTGAAAGATTGTCGGCCTTCACTAACTTTTGAGTTCTTCTCTGCTGTCCCTGAGGGCAGGACCGGAACCAGTCGGTTGAAGCTACTGGGAAGTAGACCCAAGGATTGTCCAAAGCTGACAACAGTGGAATAGACTGCAGGGTCCCTCTTCCTTGGATGTCTTCCTTGGAGGCTGGAGACCCACCTGTCCAAAACCACTTCAACAGATCCTGCAGGTGGTCAGACTAGATCAGGGGTCTCCAACCTTGGCAACTTTAAGCCTGGTGGACTTCAACTCCCAGAATCCCCCAGCCAGCAAAGTCCTCCAGGCTTATAGTTGCCAAGGTTGGAGACCCCTGGACTAGAGGACCTCTGAGAGGCCCCTCTTTGTCACCAAAGGGAAATCGGGAAAAGGAAGCAGGTGAAGGCAGCTTTCCCATTGGTTTTCTTCGGCGCGGTTTCCTGAGGGTTAACAGGGAACATGGGAGCCCTGCTGATCTCAGGCTCTTTGCTTGCTTGTATCACCTGAGGGCCCCACAGTGGGTGAAAGCTCTCGATTGGGGGTGGGAGGTGCTGGAAGGGGCCGCACAGCTGGGCAGCTCCCTAGATCCAAACTCTTAAGTCTCTCTCTCACCTCGGTGCCGATTAGTTGTCTTGTCAAACATCAGCATGGCATCGTCCACCTGCAAGAACAAAAGGATCTGGGTGGGTGAAATGAGTGGCTGTTGGGTGAATAAAAACAAAATAATTGCTAGGAAGAACTTCAATGTTAGGCTACAATCATCTATTAGATAACGTATTTAGGGCATTAGTAGAAAGTAGACAGTGATAAGCTGTTTAATTACCTATTCTAGTTTTAAGCACCAGGGGAGGAAGAGGAGATAGGAAGAGATTTCCCTGCAACGCCAACAGGTGGTCAACTTGTAAAACATTCCTAGTTTTCCAAGTTGCCCTAGGAAAGAGGGCGGGGGGAGCCCCTTAAGGAGCATACAGCAGATGAACCAAGCTTATCTCACAGAGATTGTAACTGAGGCAACCAGGTATTCTGGGTGCGAAAATCTCCCTTGGACAATCTGAATTATGATACACCCAGAGGGGTGGAGGTGGGGTGGGGAAACAGGGTCATAGGTGACTGTATCTCAGAGTTCGGCTTCCTACAGGTCATGCCAGCATGTGGCTCCTAATAAAATCTTTGCAGTTTTTTGGAGTTTGGCTTCAGGCTCATGATTTAATTAGGCTGATCGCTGGAATCCGGACACGGGTCTTGCTTGAACATCTAGAGATGTTCCTATAAAACCAAGAGTAGTGAGCTCCTCACACACAACCCGCCCCGTCTGCACAGATCCAGGAACGTCACCGGTCATCCGTATTGGCGAAATCCAGAGCTGGTGGGAAGCCCTGGGTTTCAGTCCATCCCTCGACAAGGAAAACGTCAGAGCTACCAACCATTGCATCTTCCAAGTCTAAGATGGTGTGTGCGTGTCACACAGTCAATGGCAAACGCAAACTTTCCCCTTGGTAACTTATTTGTCTCTCAACCTTTTGAGGAAAGGAGATTTCACTCGCTATTCTAAGCCTGTGTGAGAAATCCAGCCACAGCAGGAAAGGTGATAAGAGACGGACTGCCTTTGTCAGGAAGGAAGCAGCTAGGGGTAAATTATACCCAATGATTGCAAGATTGCTGGCAGGTTGAAGACAGAACAAACTCTCTGGTGTGAGATCACACAGCCTTGGGAATTGGGGGTTCCAAATGTGGTAAAATGCCAGCGATGTGCAGCATCGGCTCCTCGTGCATTTAAACCCTCCTTGGTTCAAAGGGACACAAAGCCACGTCATCAACCCATTGGCTGGGCAAGTGGCAGGAGACGCCCCAAAATACAAGTGTTTATTGATTCAGCCTTCCCTCACTTGAACCCCGTCCCGGTGTTTGGGACTGCAACTCCCATCATGCTCATCCAACAAGGCTGTGGGAGGTTGCAACAGAGGGACGCTAGCTGAGAGGGGGCTGCTCCTATTCCCAAGACAGATGAACTGGGATAACCTGAGGAGGGGCTGCCAGTCAGAAGCTAAAAAAAACTCAGGCAAGCTATACCGATGTTCATCCTTTACACAGCCCAGCTCAGCTCTTCTTCGTGCCAAATTTAATTTACCTCCAATTGCGTCAAACAGTTAATACTCATAGCTGAGCCTGATTTTCTGAATTTGCACAATACACTGACCCATCACTTATATCTTTTATGTATACCAAGAGCTTATGCACCAAAGACAAGTTCCTTCTGTGTCTAATCACACTTGGCCAATAAAGAATTCTGTTCTGTTCTGTTCTACTCTATTCTCATTTTCATTCTCTTCTCTTTTCTCATTCTCTTATTTCTATTCTATTCCATTCCATTCCATTCCTCATTCTATTCTGTTCTGTTCTCATTCTCTTGCTTTTCTCATTCTGTTACTTCTATTCTATTCCATTCTTCCTCGTTCTATTCTAGTCTCATTTTCATTCTCTTTTCTCATTCTATTCCATTCCATTCCAATTCTATAAATGAACTGTGGACTACCAAAGGTGCAAAATGGCTGTCCAGCTGACTGGGAGTTGTCTGGAGATGACCATGGTGGCTTCCTTCCAGGACAGGGGACTCCCAGCTGTCCTCAGGTGGCCACCCAGCTACAGCCAGAGGGGCAGCTCCTCAAGTCCTAGCCCAGCCTGGTACCCACCCATGTCAGAACCTGCAACTAGAAGAAAGATTTTCCTGGTGGTGGGAGTGCCTTCCCACAGCCCTGAATCTGAGCTGTTGATCTTATTTCAAAATGACGCAGCGCCATTGAGCCTTTCAACTCAATTCCACTATTAGTCACAGAGCTCATGACTTCGGGCTTAGCTCAAACACCTCGCAGGGCTGCTGAGAGACCATCAATCTTGACCCACTTGAAGAGACCCCAAAGGTAAGAGACATCAAGCTGGATTCTGGCTTATCTGCATAGTTTTCTTGGCAACAAGGTGAATTGGCTACTGTTTTCTTCCAGGACATTTTTTTTTACTTGATGCTACAGCCCTGGGATTTCCTGGTGGTCTCCCATCCAAATATTAACCAGGTCTATTTCTCTTTAGCTCTTTGGAAACCAGCCAAGCTGAGAAAGGTGCAGCCACGGAGGACGCAACTGCAACAAACCAACAAAATATTTGGGCATAATTTCAGAATTTCCAATTACCACGGTTAATGCAACTTGAGAGAACCAGTTGGGGAGCGAGAGACAAAGTATGTGCTGTAGCAAGTGAGGAAGCTCCTCTTTTTTTTGGTCCCCCCATCCCACCCCTTAATCTTGGACTTAAGTAGGTCATATTCCCATTTCTGTAAATACACAATCCACTTAACGTGGGTAGTGAATTAACCCAGTTTTAGCTTGGCACAATATACTGAATCACAAACCAACTAAATGGGTTGAGTTTGCATTAACAGACGGATACAATCAAGATCAAGTGAGGTACTAATATCACTCTATAAAGCCTTAGTAAGACCACACCTAGAATCCTGCATCCAGTTTTGGTCACCACACTATAAAAAAGATGTTGAGACTCTAAGTAGAGAGAAGAGCAACCAGGATGATTAAGGGGACTGGAGACTAAAAACATATGATGAACGGTTGCAGGACCTGGGCCTGTTAGTCTAGTGAAGAGAAGGACCAGGGGAGACAGGAGAACAGTCTTCCACTATTTGAGGGGCTGCCACAGAGAGGAGGAGGGAGTCAAGCTATTTTCCAAAGCACCCAAAGGCCAGACAAGGAATAATGGATGGAAACTGATCAAGGAGAGATTCAACTTGGAAATAAGGAGAAACTTTCTGACAATGAGAACAATAAACCCATGGAAGTTGCCTTTAGAAGTTGTGGGAATGCCATCACTTGAGAATTTCAAGAGGAGTTTTGACTGCCATCTGTCAGAAATGGTGTAGGGTCTCCTGCTTGGTCAGGGGGTTGGACTAGATGACCTACAAGGTCCCTTCCAACTCTGATTATCTGTTATTTGAAATATGCTGGGGGTGAGGAGAGAAGAAACAAGAGCCAACAGTTACCAAACTGACCACATTGTATAAATGAGCCACTAGATTTTCAATCGACTGAGATAAGCAGGATATGAGTGGGAGGGAGAATTTAAAGTCTGGAGCCAGGGAGCTACAGTGACCATGAAAAGGCTGGCAATTCTGGGCAGGGTCCTGCAATGGTCCCCTGGGGCAACCCCTTAGCCGCTTGGCCACACAGCCTTCCACAAAAGCCGTCTCGAGTCCAAACCGTGGCTCTTGTGTGGCAGGCGGACAAGTCAGGAGTGTGGATTCTTTAATCTGACTCTCACACAGAACATTCGAACGGCTCTCCTGAATGACGCAGGCCGGCCGGCTGGGGTGAGGGGAGGTGGAAGGCAGACAATGGGCCTTCTGTTCGGATCAGGCCTGGAGTCAACAGCCAGGCCAAGCAAAACCAGGCTTGGAAGCTTCTGAGGCTCTTGGGCGCTGGGCACTGAACGACGGGCAAGCAGCAAAGAAGATTATCTGGTTTACCAGCAGGCACCTGGGGGGGGGGGGGGAGAACAATCTCTGCTGGCAGGAGGGGACATTTTAAGAGCTGAGGGCATCTAATGCCAGGCCTTGTGTGGAAGGGACTTTGTTGCAAACCCAGGAATGCCAGATTGGCATCCTTTCTTTCATTTCGGCTTTCCCACAAGCACTTCCAAGTCTCTGGTCTCAGGAGGCTGCCAGGGTCCAGATTTTGGAAACCAGGCCCACAACCAACCCTCTGAGCACTTTTGAGATTTGGGTGCCTTCGCGTCGACGCCTGGTAACATTAATGAGCGTTTTTGTACAGCGTTTTTGGAAACCGTTTGCCATTTCCTGGCAAAACTAAAACTTAAGGTTTCCCATTTTCCAGCCTGAACCCGTACCCCCAAGTTGGCCGTCCCGTCTGAGCTGTATTGCCTCCAGAAACACATTGCAGCCCGAGAGCCAAAGGTGGCCCACGAACACCTTGAAGAAAAGAGTGGGGTGAAATGAATGCAACGGCTCCAAAATTTGAGACTCCCACAAAATTCTGGCCGGTGTGGGGTGACAGAGGAAAAAGGGCCCACACATCAGTCACGAGGACGGGTCCTGCACCGCTGAGACCCGGCGAAGGGCATTTCGGGAAGAGGCGGGGACCGGGATGTGGCAGCCAATGGAGTCCCCAGGTCAGCCCTGAGGACAGCCGAGGCCTCTTCCTCTTCCAGGGAGCCTGCCTGTCCTAGCCAGCTCCCGTGTCCATGGAAACTCAGGGATTAGCCTCCCGGCGTCCAAGCTCAGGCGTCCGAGCACTAAGCATGAGTGGCAGGCCCTGGTGGGGGGCTATTGTGGCAGCTGCTGCTCGCCGGGCGCCCCGCTGGCCCGGCCCCTCTCGGCGCCCTGCAGCTCCCAGCTCATCGTCCTCCGGAGCCTTTCTTCCTCCAGGGGCGGCACTGGCGGCGAGAGGCCCAGACAAAAGAGTCTGTCGGGGATGGCTTCTCCTGGGGCCGGTTGCTGTGGCAACCCTGCCCTCCAATCCCAGCTGCTGGATCCGATTAGCGCCAGCTTGGATACCCTCTTCGCAAAGCGGTGCTGACGGGGACACAAAGGCAGCTTGCTGGGGGGAGCCCTGGCCTTTCCCCGCACCAGAGGGCCCAGGG